ATCCGCCCACTTCTCTCCAGCTTCCTCTCCACCTTCGTGGTCCAGGCCACAACAGTGTTGCCTGGATTTCTGTAATACCCTCCTTCCTACCGGCTTCCTGTCCTCCACTCTTGGCTTCTTCCAATCCATTCTCTCTCCAGTCCAACGCTGACATTCTTAAAGTGGGAGTCAGATCACATGATTGTTCTTTAAACTCTTTCACTGCTTTCCATTGCCAGAGTCAAACCTCGCTTTCTCACAGCCGCCAGCAAGGCTCACTATCTTCTCAGTCTCGCCTGCCCCACTGCCCCCGCTCTCCATCCCAGCCCCTCCGTCTCCTCCCAGTTCCTGTTGGCAGAGAGACCCCAGGAGAGGGCCCGAGGGAGACCCATGAGTAGGCCAGGGCCTGACACACAGCAGGAAGTATTTTACAATAAGTGCATGCTGATGGGGATAAAATGGGCAATAAAGACAGAAAATTATTTTATTTTATAGCCAACCAATTTGTTTTCCCCTATGGAAGCTTCAATAAGACATAATCTAATAGGCTTTAAGAGAAATTAGAAATCTTGCTTTGAAGACTGGCAAAAATATAAGTTGCCTATGGAGAAGAAATATATTGGCTACCCATGTTCCCAGTATGCAGTGGGGTTTCCTGAGCATCTTCAAGCATCGATGATTGCCCTGCAGCAAGAACTTCCTCTCTTTCTGGTCAAAGGACAGGCCCTGGAGAAATTCAAATAATTCAATTTTAATAAGTTCGTGGTCAGTAGAGCTATTTGCATTTAAGGGAAGTCATTTTTGAAGCAGTCCTTTCAGAATTTCAATTAGATTTAAAACATACCCCAACATAAATGGGGGAGCTTTCAATTGAGGTGTAAAACCTCATTGGGGTAACTTAATGCTGTTCAAGCCATCAAATAAATATTCCATCATGCTCAGTTCATAACATATTTCAAGTTATATCTGGGTTAGTTTGGGTTAATAGCCCCTTTAATTATTCCAATGAGGCTTACTTGCTTATCAAGCTATATTCTCATTCCATTTAGCCTATTTTACTACTGTATATTTTTTTTATGAGCTCCCTAAAATTGGTGCTAATGGAATGAGCTCTGCCCAGGGAAGATGAGAGTTTATCTTTGTGACTCTGAATTCATGCATTTGTTCCACAAAGATTTATGAGCACTACTGTTTTCCAGAGCTAAACACTGGGGACAATATATGAAAAACACAGTTTCCACCTTACAAGGGTCTTTGATCCAGTTACAGGTGCACAGGTAATTAAGATGCAGCATAACTGGCCAGGAAAGGGGTTACAGCAGTGTGACATGTTCAAGGCAGGCTTCCAGGAGTGCTGTGTTGTAGCTGAGTCACAAGGGAAAGTCAGCGTGAGCCAGGCAGAGGAATAGTGGGCGACCCCAGCAGCGTAGGCAGCCTGGGCAAGGCCCTGGATCCAGTGACGGGGCGTCATTAGCATCCCACAGGTACTGGCTTCCCTGGGTTGTTCATCTGTGACCTTGTGACCTCCTGAGTCTTCAGGATCCCAGGTTCCTCTTCAGGTTTGGCTCAGGCAGCCGAGGCTTACCTGTGCAGTCTACCTTTGTCATTTTCGGATTTAGGTTTCAAACGGGAAGTCAAATGGGACGCAACAACAACAAAAAGTTGATGTACTTTTTATGCTGCTGAGGGCAAATTCAAATCAAAATGATATGAAGTAAAATGTAGAGCCAATGTGATTTAAATGAAACTTATTTTAGTAACTATATCAGATTACTTTAACCCTGGATTTATGAAAACATTAAGGGCTTGAAAGAGTGTCTAATTTTTTACTTGTACTTTAGTGCACTTTATTAGAATAAGCTTCACAAGGGCAAGGACTCTTGTCTGTTTTGCTTCTTTGCTGTTGTTTCCCAAGTGCCTAGAGTAGTACCTGCCATATAGTAGGCATTCAGTAAATATTTGTTGAAAGATATAATAACTTTGTGGAGAAATGGCATTCTATGTAAGCTTCCCACATCTAGGACTCTTGACTATCAAAAGTCCATGGTGCTCCAAAGAAGGAGGGGCCAGGGTTCCCGCAGAGTGGGAGGCAGTAGTTTTACCACTGCAAACAAACCATGAAACACATTGTTAAAATGATGCGTCTGTGGAGCCTATCGTAAAGCTCTGTTTTTGTAAATGCTGTCTATATCGGGCAGATGGACATGATATTTAGTTTACAATCCCAGCTGTTTTGTAAATTCACTTTCTATTCAAAGCTCTGTCTTGCGGGACTGGGGGCACTTGCCCTCAGTTGTTACTCGGAACACACAGACCCAGCTGTGCCAATGTCCCTGGGCCTCCCAAGGGTCAGACTGCCTCTCACTGAGAAACTCCTTATTCCAAGGCCTGGTCCCTCCCAGCCCACTCGTTCTGCTACTCAAGGTTGGGGCATGAGAGCCATTGCACCCGGGGCCCCAGTGTCCCTGGATGCCCCACACAGCCATCCTCTCAGATCCTGATGCCACCGGAATGGGACCGGGCCTGATGTGGGTCTGGCCTTGGGCCAGTCTATAGTGTATGGGTTCTTGACTTTGTGCAGGAAAGATTTTCCAACATGCGTCCAGGTGATTTTGAGGGTACATTGATTAAAACTGGGGACAGTGAAACAAAAGAGGGGCTTAGGATAAAAGAAGCAACAGGATAGATCCTAGGTGGTGCTGCTTTCTCTAAAAATGTCAGAGAAAAGACAGCCTTGGAGACATGTTGAGGGTGCAAGCCCCCGCACAAGCTGCCATGCGCTGTGCGCTGCTCCCCTGGCGGCAAGTCTTCGGGGGGACCCTTAGAGTTTAGGAGAAAGTGCCAGAGAAGGCAAAGGTGTGGGCGTGCTCGAGAGAGAGCCTGCACTGTCCTGAGGGCAGGAACCCTAGGGGAGGTCTCAGGCAGAATATTCACCGGTTCTCCAGGTGTGGTTTTTAATACATGGATGTACCAAAAGGAGTGCATACAGGGACCAGGCTCATCCTCCGGTCTTTGCCTCTGTCTTGGAGTTATTTTGTTATAATTGTTTTTATTGTTGCTGTTGTTATTTATTCTCTTGACTTTATCAGTCCTTGGGTTTGGCTGGCACTAATGGCACTAAATGGATCTCTGTCATCTATCTTGACCAAGGTGATTTAAGCTATTTACTCCCGGGTTAGAGAGGAGAGGTGCAAACCATTTGCTCTCCACGTGTCCTTGGTTTAGGGAAGATACGATGCTGTAATTTACTAGCTGGCTGTAAATTGTTTGACTTCTTTGGCCCCATTTGTCTCAGTTTCCCTTTCCCACTTGTCAAAAATTCTCCTAACATCCAACTGCCCTGCCTCGCTGATGCCTTCAGGGATCACAGGGCCCAGCTATTCACTCGGGTGGCACCGTTTCCTCTCTCCAGTCTCTGACTACAGGCATTCGACTAGAGGTGGGACAGAGAGAATGGGAGGAGAAAAAACAAATTGTCTCAACAAATTATTGTACCCTACCCAGGCCTGGTGCAGCCATTTTAATCGCTTCATTCCCAAGCCAATTAAGAAAATAACCTTAAGAGAAGCCCAAGGAAAATTTTTTTTAAAATAATTTTTTCTTTTTTAAAGAGAGAAGCCCAAGGACTGGGGGCTAAACGCTCAAATTTGGCAACATTGGCTCACCCTTCCCTGGCAGTAAATAGAGAGCTGGGAACCTTGGGCACGTCACTCCTGCTCGAGCTTACTTTGGCTGGAAGGCAGCAAGGCTTTGTTCTTGCCAGAACACGTTTGAATCCCAACTGAACTTTTCCCCCTTCTGGGCAAATTTTTCTGGTGCATGAACCCTTCAACCTGCTGTCACTCTGAGGCTTTTTTCCATTCTCACTCCAAACCCCTAGGAAGCTTTTCAGAAACTTCAAAAGTCAGGCACTCAGACACTGCTTTGGTGGGTGGAATATAAATGTTCAAGAGTCTCGACATCTTCTACGGGGATCTTTAAAGAAGACTTCAAAGAAACAGCTCTCCTGCTTTGAGAATTTCCCACATAAGTAATAAATAAAAATAATTGCCCCTTTCTGTATATTTCTGATCTCATCCAGGGGGATAGGTTTATAAACAGGCCTGAGAGATTGCCAGGGATTACACGCACAGGTATAACCCACAGGCCTCGGCGGAAGCTCGTGTGGTCTCTGGGATCATCTAACACCCTCCAAAAGGCTTTTGTCACATTATATGGACACTTGTCACCTGGAAATCAGGCTCCATTGGGCAGGGGAAGAGGGTAGATTATCATTATCCTTTTATGAGTACCAACTGAGTTGGCGCCTTCCTCTATTTTAAAGAGACTTTTTATCCCACATTGTGTATAGAATAGAGGATCATGTTGGAGTTAAAAGGAAAAACTTAGAAGTGAGCTAGTGCCCAGCCTTCCATTTAAGATAAGGGAATTTAACACAAAGGAAGGATTTGAATTTTCGTACCATATCCACACACAGGAAAAGGAAGCAAGCATTCTGAGTCTGAAATTATACCGGGAAAAAAACAGTCCAGTTACTGGCACATAGTAAGAGCTAAATAAATGTTAGCTGCTAAGGCGGTGACTGCAGCTTTGGCCCAGAGCAGCGGCTCTCAATCCCAGCTGCATAGCAGGACTCTCTGGGATGTTTTTTCTAAAAATACTCGGGCTCAGGCCCAGCTGCAGACATTCTGGGTCCACTGGGGTGGGGTCCAGCTTAGGTGCGGGTGAAGCAAGCAGGTATAGATGATTCCGATGGGCAGCCAAGGTTAAAACCTACTGGCTTAGGTGGTCCAGGGAGAAAGTCAGGGACCCTGTATCTTCATTACCGGCTAAATGCCCGGCAGATGGTAAAGGAAAACAGAGAGAGGGCACTGGAGAATTTAAAATACTACGGTAAAGTTTTTTTAAAAAAATTTGAAAATCACACCTTTTTTGCATAGCAAGCGTGAATGAGGTTGCTACATACAAAAGACAAAGGATAACAACCAACCTAATTGAAATGGAGCAATTAGTAAGGCGTCATTATACTCTTATTAAAACAAGGTTCTCATCTGTCTGTGTGGCTGGGAAACCTATTGCCACAGGTGGAAGGCAGGAAAGCACACCTGGATTAACAAGGGGCCAGTCGTTTAATGCGGAAATCCAGTTAACATAAAGAGACGGAGGTTGGACAACAGATAGGACTTCAAACAATACTGCATAGTGTCACGGATTAGCTCTTACATGGTTGATCTGTTTTCCTTATGATTGTGATTCCAGTACAAAGACAGAGAAGAGACTTCAATTAAAAAATAAATAAGGCAACAGAAGAAGAATCTTCCTGTGACACAGAACAGCCACAAACACAAACATTTGGTGCTGACAGGAGACACTGTTAGGACAAGTTCTGAAGATGCTGCGTTGAAATTTAACAAGCGTGGTACAATGACAAGAAAATTATATTCGCTTTGTTATGAATCCTTTTGCAAATAAAAATGACTCTCAGGTAATTGTTATATACAAACTTTCTGAAATAAATGGCAACCATACAAATTTTTCCATCGCAATTTCCTTTTTTTCCTAAACCTAGAAACGTTCCATGGCACTGCTCCCTATTTCTCACAGTCAAAGCATAGTCATTAAAGCACTTGAATCCACAGTAGTCTTATCCTAAGAAAGGTATGGAGGTTTTGCATGATTTTTATATCAGTCATCCAGAAAGGGCTGGCAGGCAACAGGTTGGAATGTAAAAGACCGCTTTGTGCTTGGGATCCTGATGCGAACTCCGCTCTGTTCCCCTCAGGAGTCTGCCGCAGTGTGCATGGGCCACCGAGCATGGACTTGAATGTGGACAGTCATACCGTGGAGTCCCTGCCAGACTTTAGATGTGCAAGCTTGGTCCGGCTAATAAATGGATAGGCGATGCAGAGACCCCCAGCAGCCACAATAAAGCCCAAACTGCACCAGGCGCAAAAGATAGACCAGCTGTAGCCGTGTTCCACATCGTTAGGCAGGCTATAAATTAGCTTTGGGAGGCGGTTCAAATCATAGGAGATGCTGGCAGCGTAAGTGCAGAGGGAAATGGTGCAAAATATTCCTATAAATAATACAAAGAGAACAGAATAATCAGTTACAGTTTTGCCTGCTACAAGGCAAATGCCAGACAGGCCTTTGTGAAAATCAGATCAACCGATGAGGTGATCACTTCAAATTAGTAAAGGATCTACAATTTTTTGACTTGAATTACTTCATTCAACAAAGACTGACAAAACCAGACTGTAGGCTAGGCATTGGAGATACAGGAGCAAAGATTGCAGGGGAAAACTTTAACAACTTGAATTATTCAGAATTATCTTGCTGGAATATTTATAATGTGTATTTAAATTTGTATTTGTTTTTTTAGTATTAAAAAACAAGCTAATATCCATTCTAATTACTTTCAAGGACAAATTCTTCTATAGCCACTCAAACCTAATACAAAAGTTTTTATTTCCCTTTGTTCTATACCTGACTTGCCACATTTTTATATAGTTGCCATCTTCATAAAAAGTTTGCTTTCTTTTTCAATTATCATTAACATTAGTTATCATGTTGCCTGTAAATAATAGTTTAAATGAATTTTTACAAGTTCTAAATCATTTTTGAAGCCACAGAGTCTGGCACATCCTAAAGCCTCAACAAATTGTGTGGGGTTTTTGTTTTTGGTTTTCTTTAGGATTTTATTTATTTTTAGAGAAAGGGGAAGAGAGGGAGATAGAGAGGAAGAGAAACATCGATGTGAGAGAGAAACTTGATTGGTTGTCTGTCATACATGCCCCGACTAGGGACTGAACCCAAAACCCAGGCATGTGCCCTGACCCAGAGTTGAACCGATGACCTTTTGCTCTGCAGGAAGAAGCCTAACCAACTGGTCAGGGCTGCTGGGTTTGTTTGTTTGTTTGTTTTTTAACTTAATGAATGAATAAAAGATTTTAAATAATACAAGTTAAATCCAGGAAATTGGAAATGATGTAAAAGTAGCTGAGTAAAGAGATCACATACTTCAACCACTCAGAATGTAGGCATTTTGGGTGATATAAATGAACAGACCCAAAATTTTACTTGTTTATACCAACACATGTATGTATAATGGTCCTTCCACTAAAATCAAAACTCTAATAAAAATCCCCCAGACACAAACTTTTTAGTATTCAAGTTATGCTCCAAGAATGCAGATGCTCCTATTCCATTACAATGGACTCAGGATGCTCCTTTTGGATGGACAGGGGATCAGAATGAGGTCATTGCTGAGCTGATGGGTAATAAAAACAGAAACTGACCCCCCAGTGATGTATGGGAATGCCCAGTTCTAGTCCGAGTCCTACATACCTCTCCCTCCTTCGGTTTTTCCCTGTATACAGTGGAGGTCACACCTATCTGCTGGAAAATGATCTCGGTAACCTTAGAGGTCTATGCAGCTTCCCCAGAGGAAAGAGATACAGATTTGGTAACTGAAAAGAAGCTAAAACTAAGACATCACCCCTTTTTAAATAGAGCTTTTGGGGATCAGAAACACTATCCGAGAAACAAACTCAGAGCAGGCAGCAACTGGGAAGAAATAAAAATCTCGTGAATGCAATTTTTTAGGTGGTGGAACTCTGCCTCCACTCCAATCACGTAAAAGCACACAGCCTAAATCCTTTTCCAAACATTCATTTAGAAAAGAAATGTTTTCAATTAAAAGGATGCTTGATCTGAGATAATTTGATATTTCCTACTCTGCCTAATTGTTTTTAAACTCTAAAGTGATTGCTTTTCTACAGAGGATAAAAGCTTTTCTTCCGATTCCTTGCTCCAGAATATAATGGCAAACACATCATTTCGAGTTCTCCAAAGAAAGATCATGATAGGAAGAACTCTTTCATAAAGGAACGAACCAGGCAAAGAAGAATACTCCTCTGCTCTTTTCAAATCTTGTCAAGAGCAAATGTTCTTATACCTACATGAATGTTTTCACTGGCACCAAAACAAAGACAGTGTTTATATATAACAAGATCCTTCTAACAAATTCTGGAAGGAGAAGAATAAAGCAGTTAGGAAAAAATTGATCTTTGGAGTATCAACAGGTACAATACAATAATAGAAAAGAAACTCCAGTCTGCCTTTAACCGTCTGCACCTAGCTGAATGCCTAAAAGCAAGGCTTTTTACAAGTACTGTGGTTTTAATGACCTCTGAAAGCTTGAGTTCAAACTCAGACTTTTAAGCATCCTTTGATGTCCAAATGCATTAGGCAGAGGTGCAGGAAATACGGATTCTGTCCCCAGATCTACTATTAATCACTGTGCAACCTTGAAATTACCTAGCTTCACTGAGCCTCTGTTTCTTCATCTAGGGAAAAAAAAAAGTGGGACTTCATTACTAAAGTCCCTTACAGTGTCAATTTTCTGTAATACAGTTATTCCAAAATATGGCATAAAGCAAGAACAGGTCTCCAAACCCCCTAGTGAATCTAGTACCTGGTAATATGCAACTAAATCAGAAACAGATTGTCATTCATTTTCCTTTCTCTATATACTACCTTTGATTTTTATAATAAATGTTGATTTTATTAGCACCTCTCCCCTGCCAACTCCATAAAATTGCTTTTGGTGAAGTGAAGTTTAGCATAACACCTCCAGTTCACCCTGAATAGAAAAGGATTATAAGAAACAATCTAACCTGGGGATTTAACCAGGAGGCTGATTTTCTCTGTCCTCGGTGTCATGAGCGGCTGTGCTTCCCTTGGGGACTTGGTCTGTGCTTACTTCGGGGACATTGTGACTGATGTCACCAATAAAATGTCTTTCTTGGACCAAGTGGCCAGAGAGCTGAAACTCCCTAAAACTAAATCAGCAGCCCACTAGGAGCAAAAGTCAGGGACTTTATGGAATGTTTTCTTGCTAACTAAGCTCACCCTTGGATCCATCCCGCCTTGCAAACCAGATTGCTTAGCTCGTTTTTATGACTTACCTGCATTTATTTTATCTTGAAATAATATATGCACTCCTCTGCCACTTAAATTCTTTCTGGAATAGGGTATTCATCAAACCTTGATAAAACCTGCTATATTTTCTGAAGCCTGTACTCACTCAGCTGAAAGTGGGAGAAATGGTTACTATGAGCCCACAAATATTCCCCCTTCGACCCTTCCCCCTTCCCACAAATGCCCCCACATGCTACTCTTCAGTGGCATTTTTCTCTCTTCCAAGATGTCCTTGAAGTTGCTCTGAGTGAGAGGAAAGCCAAGATTACCAAAGAGTATATCTAAGAGTCCCTCCTTTTCAGAGGCTCACATCTCGGAAAAGGTCACAAATATATAGCTGCCACCATTATTATTTGTGGGATGGCAGGACCGTTTTCGATTATTACAAGGGAGTGCACTGAAAGTAGACAACGCATTGTTTCCAAAGCTTTTGCAAGAGACCTGACCTATCAAAGATATTTTAAAAAGGCAAATATAAAACCACCTAACTACAAAGACACCAAGAAAAAGTGTTGTTTAAATGATGAAAACATCTTTGCTGTACTTGGATTATTAGTCTTAGGTCAGTTTTTATGCTGCGAAATTCCATTTGGGTTCTATATGCACACCTTACACTACTCATGTGTATTAGTAGTTTGCTAGAGCTGCCATAACAAAAAGCACAGGGGGAGGGGAAGCTAAAACAGCAGAAGTTTATTCTCTAATAATTCTGGGTGGGGGGGGTCTCAGATCGATGTGCGAGCAGAGTCGGTTCCTTTGAGGCCCCTCTCCTTGGCTTGGGGAAAGCCATGTTCTCCCTGTACCACCCCGAGATCCTTCCTCTGTAACTGGGTCCAAACTGCCTCTTAGAAGGACCCAAGCCATGTTAGATTAGAGCCTACCCTTGGACCTCATTTTAACTTAAGTACCTTTTTTTTTTCTTCTACTCAGATTGTACAGTTCTCCACTAATCCATCGGAGAGAGAGAGTTAACTTAAGTACCTTTTTAAAGGCTCTGTCTCCAAATATAGTTATATTCTGAAAGGGATCAGAACTTCAACATGCAAATTTTGAAGACACAATTCAGATTCTAACATCATATGTATGTGTACATGCATGTGTGTATGTAGTCATGTGTGAAGTATTTCTATCCTTTTATAGGCCTAAGCAAGATTTTGCTATTTAAAATGTTATTTAATCAGTTATTCAAGAATAATTTATCAAGCATCTACTATGTCCAAGGCCCAGTTCTGATTATCTTAAAGGTAGCTTAGTTGAATGAGTTCCTGTGGTCACAGCCATAATTGGTACCAGGCCGCTGTGCCCAGGAACCCCAAGGGGTCTTTCCACCCCACTTTCCAGCCCTCCTCTCAGGGAAAAGCAGCAGAGAACTATCCCACCTTCCTGTAAGTTCCCCACAGAGTCAAATAGGGCTGAGCACATGGAGCCAACAAAACCAGCTGAGCAAAACTGAGTTCTGCAGACACTGAGTTCTTCCAACCTAAGCACCAGTTCATCCCCAATTGCCCCATGTAGGTCTTACCTCTATAGCAAATGATTTTTAATAATGCTGCATTTTTGTCAGTAGCAATGTAGTTAATGCCCGGGATGGGGGCATGAAAAGATAAGGTATCACCCCTGCATTCAAAAGTTCGAAACCTAATGGCCCTTCCTGAAAATCCACGAGGAGAGAGGTCACCTCTCCATTCTTCTCGTGGGCTTCTCCTTCCCTTTTGCTTCTCCACTGACCAGCTGCAAGTTGCTGGTGGCTGCCACTGATACCCTTCAGCCCAGCTGGTGGGGCCCGGGGAGAGAGGTTCTTAAGTTCTGAGCTCAGTCCTGGCTTATTGCTGGTAGCATCTTCAAAAACATGAATAATTATTGGTTCTGAAGAGCCCTGTATGCAGCTACTTTTCTAATAAAATATTAAAAGTTTTTCTGCCAATATTCTTCATTAGAAAATATCACAAAATTATAGGGCTGGAAGGGATACTTTTGGGTCAAGACAGAAGAGAGTTTATACTGCCATCCCAGATTATCAACCTAATTTTCTTAATTTTCATGGTGCCTGGTAAAATGTAAACAGAGTAACTGGGCCCATTCTTTGGACCATCCTCCTCTGATGTGATTTGAAGGCTGAAAGAAGTTACTTCACCCTGGTTAGCCTCCTTGATAAATAACATAACTGAGACACCCAAAGGTCTAAACATTGACTTTCCCCTCCTTCAAACGATGACCTGCTCATCATTCTGGTCTCTTTGCAATTCCAGAAAACAATGCCTCATGCTGCCTTTCATAACAGATTGCCCAAAAAGTCATTCCTAAGTTGTCTTAACTAAATGACTGAGCAGGAGTGATAGAGACAGACAAAACATTACCAAAAAAAAAAAAAGTAAATGAAGGATCCACAATATGCAATTATTAAATCCCCTGAACATCCACTCTTTTCCTGAAAGATTACAGGAATCTCATTTAAAAGCAAAGCGTGACCTGATGGGACATAAAGCTATTTATAGTCCTTATTGATCCAGTTTATTTTGCTGCAGACATGTTCATGTATTTGATTTCAGACCTTGCTGAAAGAGTTAGATAATATATGTACCATGTTACCTTCCTAGAAGAAAACTTTAAAATTCTGAATCCCCAAACCTATCTGGCCCCAAGGGTTTCAGATAAAGCGTTAAGGACCTATAGTTTTAAGTCATAATCAATGAATGAACTAGGCTGCCTGGGCTCTATCTCCGCTTTATCTGCTGTCACAACACAGGCTGGATGGCCCTGCCTGGTCAGCAGTGGCCTCTCAGGGCACAGCCTGGGAAGGCGAATGGATCCAGTGGGTAGTGAGACCCTCTCAAGGGAGGACCAAGCCTTATCCAACTTTTAAAATCCTGGTATATTAAAAGAGAGCAAAGACTCTACCACAAGACACAAAAATTATATTAAAAAATTATATTGAAAAATGTCTGCATTGAAATTGAAATGCATTCATGGATACAAAGAACAGACTGATGGTTGCCAAAGGGGAGGAGGTTGGGGGACTGGGGGAAAAGGCGAAGGGATTAAGAAGTACAAATTGGTAGTCAGACAACAGTCATGGGATGTGAAGTAGAGCATAGGGAAAAAAGTCAATAATATTGTAATAACTATGTATGATGCCAGGTCACCACTGGAAATATTGGGGGAACACCTTATAAAGTATATGACTGTCTAACCACTATGTTGTACACCTGAAACTAATATAAAATAATATTGAATGTCAACTGTAATTAAAAAATTTTAAAAAGTTCGCGTTGAATAAATTAAGCCTTTAACATATTTATAACAAAGTATTATCATAACTATATGACTCTGGCTATCGAATGGAATGCATCATTTAATGTTTATGGAAATATTCATTCTCAGTTCCCTGAAAGCAGTGTGTTCTCATAATGGGCAGCAGTATATAGCTGGAAGGTAAGTGTCTTATTCCCTCTGTCCTCTGATGCCTCTGTGACCTTGTGTGTAACCTCAGAAGTCATGAAGTCACAGGGCTACATTTGAAGTCCTTGGGGGACGTGAGGCCTAGTCCTGGTCTTTCTGGAGGACCTTTTGAGAGGCCCCAGGAAAGGGAAGGGGGCAGACAAGACGAGAGAACCTGGCTCCCTGATGAGAAATGATAGTCGGCAACGCGGCTGTTCCACTTGTGTGTTATCAAGAACTGCCTGTATGCAGTAAGGCAGAAGGAGAAAGCTCTCAAACTGTCACATCACTGATGTTCTTCATCTAAGGTTTGGCTAATAAGTTCAGGTGGAGAAGGAAGACGCCAGCGCATTAGAACGGGCTAAGATTAGCATCAAAAATCTGTGGGAGTGACGCTGACAAGGGCTGCTGAAGCTGAAGAGACGTCTGCTTAATTAAAATAAATTCTTTTAACCCTGATGGCTCTCCTTTCCTGCTCTTGCATGTGAACATCCTACAGCTAATTCATCTCCTGCAGTGGATTAATATAGTTATCTCGGTGTTTACAAAGGTAATGAAGAGGCATCTGTAGTAGCAAAATAAAACAATTCTCCTTAAATCCCACAGTAAGGGAACAGATGAATACAACACAGCCTATCCACTCCGTGGAAGAACACGCAGCTATTACAAACTGAGTACAAAGTTAGGCAGCAACACGGGGAAAGGTGAGGGTTTGGTATTAAGTGGAAACCCAGAGACTAAATACGTTCCATGTGAGGATGGCTGCAAGCATTTTTCTTTTTTTCTTCTTTTCTCTCCCTTAACAATCAAACACATTGGGCAAGAAAAATAATTAAACAATCTAATTTTTCAGGTGGTGAGATCTGTAAGTGAATTTCCCCTTCATTTCAAAAATGTTGTTTGGGCAACCAAAAGCACAAGAAGGGAAACAATGTGTTGTGTCTCTTAGTCTTTCAGAACTTAGTCTTTTCAGAACTTCAAGTTTTTAAGTTTGGGTTAGGTGTCTGCAGCAGTGGGGGGAGGGGGCGTCGTTACGGGTTTTTATTATTGTGGCTATTGTTTTGTTTGTTTTGTTTTTGTTTAGCAATTGCACAGGGGCTTTCAGTAATAAAGCTGGAGGACCCCTGAGCTCGTCTGGCCCCAAGTTACAGTCCACGTGAAGATCAGAAATGAGGGCTGAGCAGGGAACGGTGGACCAGCTGAGGAAACCCGACTCCAAGCTATCCTCTGAGTCAGCCGGATGCTGAACTCCCACCTTTCTTTTATTTAGTATCAAATCAGCCCCTCAGCCTCCCAAGGAAAACTCACTGGGCAGGCTTTTATGGCTCTGTGATTTATTTTATTGCCAACAGTTGTTTTATAGGTTAAGAGCATCCTAAATTATTTACATATTGCCCATATTAAAAGTGTCCTTTGAAAACTGCATGCGTACCTCAGAGATACTGCGGGTCCACCACAATAAAGGGAGTGTCACAATAAAGTGAGTGGTAATCTTTTTGCTGGTGGAGTGTCTTGCCTTCAATTTTTAAGAGAAGCAACATCTGTCTGTGAAGCCCAATTAAGTGAAGGGCAGTAAAACAAGGTATGTCCGACTGAGGCTTTTGTTGTCCTCAGCTTGTCTCACGTTCCTGACCAGCGATGTGATGTGGGCCTTCCCAGGGTTGGGGGTGAGGTAGTGGATTCGCATTTCTTTCATGTATGTGGGGACAAGAGTCAGGACAATGAGGGCTCAGTTAACAAAAGGAGGGAAGAAAATGGGGAAGATTTGTAAAGACCATTGAGCCCCAGCAGAGGCATAAAGGAATTCTTTGCTGTCCTAGCCCACTTATTCTATAATTTGTATTTTAAATGAATCCCTTAGGCAGGCACCCGAGGGCCTTGAGCTTCCAATCCTCCTCCAAAACAGCAGGAACTAGAACTTTAGCCTCCTTATGCCAGGGCGCTGGCAGCCACGGTGTATTTACCACAGTCTGGAAAACCTAAGCTGGTTTTCTGCTCACAGCTCTTCAGGGGCCATGTGACTTCTGAACGCTCTGTCAGGATGCTGATAATGACGACCTACATCCCTCCCAGAGTGGGAGAGGGGCCGTGGGGAGTTTCTTAGGTTGAGCGCTTGCCCACTCCAGAAAGCAAAGCGCCACCTACCTGTCAGCCCTGAAAGACAGAAAACGGTGGCAGCCACAGGAGGGCGCTGCAACCTCCGGTTGCCAAGGCTTGAGGGAGCGACCGCTGCAGTGCGAGCTGCCAGAAAACCCACTTGTGCTCACTTGAGTAACACAACTCCGGGTTGGTAGAAATAGGCTTATTCGAAATGGCTACATATCTAGAGTGACATTAGTTCTGCTACTGAACATACTTTGTAAAACGGTTAATTTGGCATTCGCTAATCATTAATACACGAATGAATATCTTGTGAAGGAACGGAAGGAAAGATTTCTTCCCTGCAGTCAGCGTTAGCCATCACCTCAGATCCTGACTCCTTTTTGGACAAAAAAAAAAAAAAAATGTCCTGCTCCTGCTCCTCAGAAAGGCCTTAGTCATGTCCCCATGCCCACACTCCATCCCATCCCTAACTCCCCCTTCCCCTCTTCCCATCTCCTGCTTTGAGATCGAGTCACTCCTCTGCTTAAAACCTTCTTTCTGATCACATCCGTCCCCAGTAGATTAAAATCCAAGCCACTCCTGCTTCTGTGACACCTTCCTTTCCTGCCCTGCCCCCAGCCACTCCAGTCTTCCTTCTGTGGAGCAAAACACCCCACCCCACCCACCCCACCCCACCTTTGGGCTTGGGGCTTCTGGCTTCCTCACCCTGCAGCACACACCCCCCCACCCCGCCCGGCCCCCGCCCGGCCCCCGCCCGGCCCCCCGCCCCCACCCCCGCCACTGGCTGACTGCTTCTCACAGTTCAGCTGGGTCCCCTATTCCACCCTGTTAATTTTCCTCATAGCTTTTATCACTCTCATAAATTGTTTACATCTCCACACAACAAAAATAGAGGAGGATTTTGTCTGCCTAGTTCATTAGAGCAGGTGTACCTAGAGCAGGTGTCTGGTACACAGTAAGTCCTCAGAAACTATCTGTGGAATAAAATGAATGACTGGTTTGTGTGTAAAAATGATACCATCACTAAGAGATGTAGCTGGAGTTGACTTTCAGCCTAGGGGGCTGATCTATCACCCTCTCCCTCCTCAGGGCTCCTTGTTTGCCAAGAGTCTGGGCCGAGGTTAGGGGTTCAGTATCAAAGAATAGGACAGAAAAATAAGAGCTGACTCATAGGGAGATAAAACCCAAGACATTTCCATCCAACCTTCTAATGGGCCACAATGAAGAAATGGGGGATGTATTTTTAATACTGTTGTTTCTTTAAATTCTGTATTACCCACCACAGCCAAATAACCTTTGGTCCATTTCTCACAAGTGCAAACGAAATAAATGGAGAGCCAGCAGCCTTTGCTTTTGCCGGAAGAGGCACCTGAGGGGTTCACATACCTGTCATGAGGAACAGGAGGCCAGCCACGTGCTGGGTCAGACTTTCCTCCCAAAAGAAACTGACCGTGGCCACAATGCAGCCGCAGAGCAGCACAGCCACCGCCATGCCCAGGAAGCCGGCAGTGATTCTTCTCAAATCTAATCTCAAAACACAAAGAGGCATCCAAAATAATAAGCAGAAGAAGGAAAGGCATAGAGAATTAGAGAATGAAGAAATTTGTATGTTATGACAATTAATACATTACACGGACAGGCTTAGGGCCGACAAGGCCGAGGTGATGGTCCTGCTATCTTGATGTTTCTGTCTTCTTTTTTCCTTTTTATTTTTTAAGCCAATTTTTAAAATTGTTAGCTAAATTTCTATGACCCTTCTTAACACAATAGATCCCAAAGATAGGTCGGCAGCCCCTGGGGCCGGTCAATAGATCTGGCCACACCTGGGCACACAGGGAGCCCAGACAGGTGGCGCTCCCACTGTTCGGTGTGGGGGCTGCCCTGCTCAGGTGGAAGCGTCCAGGCAGCCACTACCTCGGTATATCTTCATGTGGCTGCTGTCCATCCTAGGGGCGCTCCATAGAGGGTGGCTTATGGTAGCTTCTAGTCTTGCTCCTAATCACACATGGATCAACCATCCCTCTCCTTCAAGGAAATTTTTCATTCCCAACTAAGAGCATCTAAATTAAAGCAGGATGCCACTGCCTAATGGAAGCGTAGACACCACAGAGCGAGGGGCCAGGAGCAGTGATCATTGAAAGGGGCTGAGTTTAATGTTAAGGGTAAAAGTAGTTTTGAGACATCCATGTCGGGGCAGGGGAAATGTAATAATAGTTCAGCCACTATTATCTGACAAGCACCTAAATTCCCTTTGGTTTAAGTTTTACTTTCTATGACCATTCAAAGGCATAAGGTTCAGATATAATCCACGTGGGATTTGCATTAGTACAAGACATGGCAAGCTTCTCTGGTCAACATGGTACAAATCACCAAGTGTGATTTTCTTAGGAAGATGCATGCATGAGACCAAAGGCATCTTTCCATGCGAACCTCAAAGAGGATTAAGAGAGGACGCTCAGATGCTGTCTTGCTGGGCAATCACAGAGCACAACCTGTTAAAGAGATGAGAGTCTGTCAGGATCCTGCGATTATCTTTTTCTGACCTAAAACTGGTGACTATGTGGCTTTCCAGGCAGATGTAAAGAACTCCAAACATGCTCATAAAGAACTAAGACATAAGAAAGCTTAGATTAGACTAACTCAGATCTGCTGAGAAACGATCATTAACATAAGCCAGTAAAAAAGCTTTCAGGAAGTCATCCTACTCTGAAATAAACCACATTTTGGCCAATGGCTTTCCCAGTCCTAAATTTGCCAACCATGATATTTACATATTGGACCACTACAATTGAGCTTCCATGTACGTATTTGAGATTCAAAACAGAGTCTTTCGATCTGCCAGAGATTTATTTAGAAAATGAGATCTTGCTTGGTTTTCTGCAGTGGTTTTGGTCCCCAAACAAAATCACTGCTGTTTGTTTCATTGGAAAAGACAATGTCAACCTCTGATTATGATAAACACTGAAAAGAATTCAGTCTAGCTTTGCTTTCTATCTATCTATCTATCTCTATCTATCTAGTTTTTTATCTATTGCCAGGCAGCATAAATCAACAGTCTACATTCAGCCCTCTTAAGCATCACCCTGCACGACCCTTTCTAGAGTTTCACATTTCCCTAACAGTGGAAAAGGGTAGCATCGGCCTTTGAAATGTCGAGGTAATAGATGCCCTCTGAGGAAATGACGACATACACTCATGAGAATATTCTTGCAGAAACACCAAGATCTGAGATGCTTGAATATTGTATAAATTCAGTTGTAAAATGAATATTGTATAAACAAACAACAACAAAAAAAAAGGATCCTTGGTTTACTAAGACAAGTGGCAACACCCAGACTTATACCTGCACACCTTTATACCTGATGACTTGGTAAAGAAAAGACTCAGAAAGCCACTTGTGTACAGATGGCCCCCAGGCAGACACACACATTGCACTGTCTCACAAAGCCTCCTGCCTGATTCTCACACATATGAGGTGTAGAAGAGCTGTGGCCACAGCACAAGGAAACGACTCCCTGAGTCTCCGACCAAGTCGAATATGTATGATCAACATAGCATCTTTCAGGCCAAAACTGCAAAGGCGAGTAGGGATACTTTTTGTTCAGAAAGACGCCATTTCCTCTCTGACCCATTCCCAGAAATACTCACGGAGCAGGTGCCATTCGTCTTGCTGTATTGTCTTGGTTAAATTGAAAGGAATGTTTCGTAGGCGGATTGGCTGAGAGAAGTGATACTTGATAGCTGTGCATCGTTGCGCAATACCTTGAAGGAAATAAATACAATTTACTAGTCTACATTTGTAATAGAATTCTGGAGACTAGAGGCTGAATAATGTATTGCAGACTGGATGGACTAGGGGAGGGGATAGGAATCTTTTGATTATTTTCATTAATAGAGGCCAGCCAGAGCAGCAAAAACCAAAAACATGAAATAACTTTTCAAAATCACTTTTGAATGTATTAGGTTTGATAAGGATCTAAACTCCCCTAATTGTGTTACACCATTGAGTTTGTATTAACTAAATGCCAAACTCCTCAAGGAGAAATGGCCTAAAAGTACACAGATGGTTGGGAGAAATCAGCCTGAAATATTAAGTTAACACAGATAAATTACACGTGTCTGAATCTGATCCAATCTCTAACTCTCAAATGGGTTGCATCAAAAAGTTCATTAGGAAGTGTGTTTTCGGGAAACCAGAAGACATTTTTCCATAAAGACAACCTTCTACACGGTGGTTTAGGTGGTGATTAAGTCTCCAGACTACCCACAAGAGCCTGTTTAACCCCAGGCTAGCTGATGTAATCCCTCAATACAGGTTTCACTGACCTGAATTCTGGGTCCTGAGAGAAAGGGTATTATTGAAAAATTCCCTCCCTTTCCTGGCTGTACGGCCAACCTTAGGCACAATATTTTGAAATGGGCATGTTACCCATTGCTTTATTTAATACCTTCTCCTCCCTCCCTCCCAGCCCATACTTTCATTGCATAAAGTAATACAGACCTATGTCCACCCTGAAGTCTTCTGAATCCCATAAAAGTATCTACCCTCCCTTCAAATTAAAACACAACTATATGTATTTCTTTCATTGTTAATCATCTTGGTCAGTTGTTTGGAAAAATGCAATCTTGTTATGTTAATTTTAAAGGGATGTGAGGAAATGTTAATCCTTTCTTTAATCCTGGCAGCTGTTAAAAAAAAATCCTTATAGATGCAAATAAATCTCTAATCAGTGAAATTTCAGTGAGTATAATACTCAATGTTGGAGATGGGTGGTGGACTAAGGCAAAAGTGTTCTCCCAGACTCAAAGGGGCTGGCCTGGGAAATCCCTGTGCTAGGGGAACCTTGTCGGCCCATTTGACATCACTGGGAATATTCTCAGGGCCCATCTCCTCCCTCTGCCCCTTGCTGGGAACAGGCATCATCCCAGTGGGACGGGAGGAGAGCAGAAAGGAGGTGCACTCCCCCTTCTCCTGGGGAGTCCGGCTCATGCCAGGAATGAGGTAAGCAGTGCACACAACACCAAATTACCTTTCCTTCCCCACCAGGCTCCCAGGCTAAATTTAAACTGCCAGGATCCTTGAAATGAAAAGCGAGAGGAAGTGGGGGAGAAGGATAAGGTCCACCTTGGACAGTAGTAACAAGCTGTCCTCAAGGATCCCTAAGATGGGGAGTCTGGTGGTAAGCCCAGAGCTCCTCAGCTGAGTTTGCAAGAAAATGTTCTACAGCCTTGGTGCTCCACTCCCTTGGAGAGACTGGAGCAGAATTAGGAGCGAAAATGGGAGTGAAGGACAGATCAGCCGCAGTGTCAGACGCCTGCCATTCACCATTTTATTTTCTTGTTCTTAAACATTCGTTCCACTGGAACAGAAGAAGATCTAATAGACTCAAAGAGGAAAGTGTATTATTAAGGTTTGGCTTCCTACATCATACACGCACAACGGAGATAATGAAACTTGACACATATCACACAGGAAAAGACCAGTAGTTCCTTGATGGCTTACTAGAGCCAAATTAGGTCCTTTGGATATAAAGAGGAGTCTACAGTCTACTATGTATGCACATTGATGGTGGTAAAGACAGTAGGTCCATGCACTGTTACAGTAAAGAGTGATACTGTGAAAATCCACAAGGAGGCATTAGATTCAAATTTTTTCAAAGCCATGCTTGCAAACTTTGAAATTAACTGGCTTTCCGGGTTTAGAGAGCAATGAATCTGGCTCTCTGAAAAGGAACACAAAAAGCATGATCTCATAGCACCAGATGGCATCACACAATGGGGGGAAGAAACATGCAGAGGGTTGAAAAGAACAAGTTGTGGTCTATATTTAGTGATTAATGAGCTTCTTAAAGGGCCAAGTAGAGCCACTTAAATGATGATATAAACCATAGAATAAGATCTGTGAATACGCTGCACAGAGGTTAGGAACAGGGTTTATGGACTGGTGAATTTCTGTTGTTTCCAGTGCTTAAAGAGATGAATCAAATTCCAAGCTTAGCCATAGAAACTTATAGTCTAGGTTAAATGGAGGACAAATGGGAGAAACAGCAAAACATGCTGTAAAATGTCATTAACACCGATCAACGAAGAGGCAGTATACGAGGAGGTCTCAGAAAGTATTCAGCCAGGTACCATGAAAAACTGAGACATTTATTGAAGAAAATACCAGATACAAGAAACATTGTACATAGGACAATGACACCTCAGTGCTCTTCAAAGTAGGCTCCTTGGGACCACATGCAGTTCTCCCAGCATTTCTCCCACTGTTCAGAACACTCTGCAAAATCCTTTGTTGGAATCACCATCAGCTGCTCTGCTGTATTTTCCTGAATCTCATCCACTGCCTGAAATCTCTTCCCTTTCAAAGGTGATTTTGGTTTTCGGAAAAGCCAGAAGTCGTAGGGCACCAAATGTGGGCTGTAGTAGGTCTGAGTCACCTGGGTGATTTGATGTTTCACCAAAAAACCCTGCATGAGAAGAGATGCATGAGCAGGCACATTGTTGTGATGAAACTGCCAATCACCAGGTGCCCATAGCTGTGGCCTTCTGAGTCATCTGAAGAGTTTCCGCCAAGCAATGTTACAGCTTAACGCAAAATTTGATGCAGATTCATTGCTCTCCTTACTCAGTCATTCTGAATGTGATGGCCACACGACACACATGCTCACTCATCAGCCCCCACCAACTAGTACAGTGAAGTCATCATTGTTCCTGCATCACATTCCAGTCCTCTCTCCTTGGCTGCCAGGTTACACCAATGCCACACAAACTGCTCTCATTATATTAACAACGGCTGGGCTTTTTCTGGACAAACCGCATCTGTGGTAGCTAAAGGCCTTGCAGTCAGACAAACGGGGGTTTAAATCCCAGCTGTGTGACTTTTGGCAAACTACTTAACCTCTCAGAGCCTCGGTTCCCTCATCTGTAAAAGCAGGGGAATAATGGCAGATACTGTATGGGGTTATCGTGCGGAATGAAGGACTTAGTATACAGGATGTGGTCCATTCTCAGCACTCAATAAATGTTAGCACTCAATCGTGAATCATCTCTTGGTACCCGCCCACACTCACTGTACAGAACCATTGCTACACACTAGGGGTCTGTACCCAAAATGGGCATCACAGGTGAACCCAGGCAGACACATGACACAGCTGCCCGAACAACGGCCCAACCAATGGCTCCCATGTTTCCTCTCCATTCTCACCCCCAAAAGTTAGCCGACTGGCTTCCTTGCCCCTGTTCTCCCCACCCTCCGAGCCCCCCTGCATGCCTCTGCTTGATAAATCTGCTGTGTTGAAGAGGTGAGGCCTCTGGAGCCCGTCACCTGTCTGTGATGTGCAATGTGAAAATGTTTAGGATTTTACTATGTCCACCTGCCTTTTACAGTATCGTTAACTTAATATGTCCCTTTAAATTGATTACTATACGTGGGAATTGCCATTATGTAACTATGTATTTATTTTAGAATTATGTATTTATTTACAAATAAAGTGCCACAGAGTAAGTGCTACATAATGGTTCATTAAATAGTTTAATGCTGTGCCAATGCGCCAACTTCCGCACTTAGGCAAACAGAAGATGAGAACGTTTCAGGTGCTCCCTGAGAGCAGTAAGACTGGGTTTTCATTGTCCAGCCCTATCTTGCCCCTGTTCAAGAACGCACCATTTGCTTCCCCCTGAATGAAAGAGGCTCTAGGTAGCTAGCATCTAACTCCTCCCCCCACCTCACTGCCACTTACCCCTGACTGATCCCCAGGGGCTATCCCACACTGTGCCTTGGCCTTGTGGTGCCAACTTTTTCCTCTACCTACACCCACACCTCTGAACAGTCCCAAACCTCCCAGGCCCGCTGCCTTAATCCAAAAGGCCTCCCCCAAGCACAGCGGCCCATGCCGCTCACTCCCTCCTCTGGCTTTATTTTGATGTTAGAGGCTGAGCCACACAATCTGGCTCTAGATTACTCAGTCTGTGTCATTTCCTAATCAAAAAATTTGCCTCCCTGTGGACTCCCCACGTTCCTTGAGAGTTGAAACTGTGACCTTTTCCTAGATTTGTGACAGTTAAGAGACATGTCTAGGACAGTTGCTGACTATAGCACTATGACTGAAGCTTCAGGCTTTCTAGCAGATGAAAGGGTCCGTGAACAGCCTGCATTGTTTCCAAAAACATTTCAAAGGCAACTTGGAATTCCATAACTGACCCGTGGGCAGAAAAGCAAAGGACTCTTCCCACCAGCTCTGTCTGCACACACTCCAGTTTAAAAGGAAAGATCAATCGTGGGATCACAGGGCAGAGTAGCTGCCATGTTCCTGTTAGAGATTTAATTTCAGAGGAATCAGGTGCTAAGCAGAGAAAAGAAAATGTTTTCCTCATCACCTCCTTTCAAGAATAAGAACAACGGCCCTCGCTTAAATAAATAAACCACATACAGTCCGTCTAGCGGCTCAGTGCTGCCTTGTAAGTCTCAGGTGACCAAAATGAGTCCTGAAAGTGAAGCCCCCTGAGGGCAAACCCATCAAGTCTCCAGAACTGAAAGGGGACAGGTACGAAATGAGCAAGTCTAGAGTGGCTCTGCCCAGTGGAAATACAGTCCAAGTCACAAGTCACGTATGCAATTCTAAATGTTCTAAATGTCACACGAAAAACCAAGTGAGATTACGTTACATATAGTTTCATTTCACATGAAACCAATATTTTGAAAATTATTGAGATATTTTATATTCCTTTTTTTTCATCCTAAGTCTTCGCAATCAAGTGCATTT